CATTCCAGGGGAGTCTCAGCGGTGCGCACCATCAAGCATCAACATTAGACAGACAAACACTGGAAATAATGACTCCTGCTAGTGTGCAGGCCGATTGCTAGATATCTTGTGGGTTTTCTTACTCACTGAAAATACGAGTTAAAGATTGATCAGTTATTTGTATTCCATGACAAAATAAAATAAATGGTCTGGTTTTCGTATGCTACCAAGTATAGTATATGTTTGTTAAATATATATTTCGTACTTCCAGGGTCTCAATATATACCTGAAGGGGAAAGAAATGATATTCATTTGCTTGAGTTCCACGCTTTGATCGAGACGATGGTCATCGATGATACGATGAAGAGCTTTTGCCATCTATTTGATGAGTAGTGACGTAGTGTAGTGAAGTTTACAATCAGCAATGTCGTAAACAAAATCCCAATCAACCAAAATTAAAGCGTCCTGGACAGCAAAAAAAAGATTGTACAGGACACCAATTTCACATGTTCTCCAGGTGCCTTGTTATTTAATTAGCACAAGGAATCGTACCTAAATAGTGCAATTACAATCTAGACATCTCCCTCTGATAGGAGTTCAAAATATTTTGTCACTTTGCCTGCTGTGTCTAGCTAGTGCGCCTCACATATGTACTGTCGATGCTTATCTTCAGGATCAGTGTATACTTTTCTGTTAAGGAGATCAAAGATAAACTGTTCAAAACATTGCTTTTTGGACGAATTAGGTCTTACTTAGTTTGCTATAGTTCTGTTTTTCAGATATAAACTTATTATTGTTTCCTTGTAGAAACTGGGATGTTTCTGCTCTGGTGGTTAGATTTTCAACATTTTGCTTCCGATGTCATGTTCGTTTCCAAAATTGCTATTTTTATTGAGATTTCAATTAAAACTGTTCTCATTTGTTCAGAAAACGGTTTGAGTTTTTCCCCCAAGATCCCGCACCATATTCTCATTTGTTGCTGTACATGAATTTGTATGTAAAATGAAAGAAAACTACTATGCAGATTTTTGGATGATAAACTACTCGATTGATCTTAAGAAAATATTTTATAAAACATTTGCTACGAAAATTTATATAATATATAAACATTTTGTGCAAGTTACTGATCAGATAGTAATAGAGGAATATACACTATATCCTAGCCTCGATAAAAGGTGATCGAAATAACGAAGAAAGCGTATAGGAAATCTATGGAGATAAAAAGTATATATAGCAGCCCATTATAGTATAGTTGCAAAAGGTATACACATCATCGCTTTCCAAGTACGAACTTCCGTCCTTCCATTCCATCCTTAGCTAGATTCAGGGTTGTAATTTGTCATCCTCCATTTCTCTATTCTTGCATGCAGGCGTCAAGTATGCCGTCATTTAAACCCATAAAGGAATCGATCATCCTTAGCTACATTCAGATTGTAATTTGTCATCCTCCATCTATCTCTCTTGCATGCGTCAAGTAGCCATTTAAACTCATAAAGGCATCGATCATATCAGTCAATAAACCGCATGCGTATATGATAATGCTATTCTAGCCAGCATCCGGCGCGGCTGTGCGGCGCTAATTGTATGCTCGTGGCCGTTTTTCTTTTTCTCAAAATACAGTATATAAATACACGTGCGCGCACTCACATCTACAAACATACACAACTAACTCCTATAAATAACTCCGAAAGACTAAGTAAACATATTTTGAGATTAACAAAGTCATCATAGATGCATCACTCTCGACGCGACTACATCACCTATACCACTAAAAGATAACAATTAACTGTAAATACGAGGACGCGTGTTGAGTCTATAACTTAAAAGCTAGGCAAGTAGGTTCCAAAAAGAAAGTAACAAGTAAAACTGTACTTCCCTATATATATATATATATATATATATATATATATATATATATATATATATGTAGGTTTTTCAACTACACAGGAGACGCAAAGAGATATATCCATTACTAGTTACTTATGCACAGCAGATACACATACAAGAAAGTGATGTGTATGATTAGGGTTGAAACTATAAGATCAACGTGTGTTTTGATTCTTATTCTGTGATGAACAATTGGCATCTGTGATTATTGGTTTTGATATTTGCAGATTATCGTCGAAGTGGTTTTGGAGATAATCAATTTTCAGGTGATGAACATGGTTTGCTGTTTTGTCGGGAGACCGGGCGGTGGTTGCCGGTCAGACCGGCTCATGTGCAGCGGTCAGACCGGCCAGGCCCGCGGTCTGACCAGCCGACGTTGTGTCGGTTTCAGTTTCGGGTTGTTTCTTTGGATATCTGTGATTGTTTTATGGTTATGGCTTCTAGATGGATACTATACGGATGTAATACTGTTGTTTGCTAGTAATGAGTCAAGTTGGGGATAGCTTGGTCTCGGAATATGGTTTCTTTGTTTGTTTCATGTGTAGGTGACTCGATGCCTCGGGAGAGTATTTGCGGTGATGGACCGGGAGTCGGCTTGGTGGTAAGACGATGTCCGTGGTGGTCAGATATCATACGGGATACTAAGGCTAGAGTTGATGCACGTGGTTGATGGAGATTCTATATGGCATACGATGGAGGTATTGTGTGCGTATGGGATGCGGAGTCAAATTTGGAAGGAGTCCAAATTTGGTATGATTGGTTATGTAAAGTTTGTGTCTTGTACTAGAGGGTTTCCTAAGGTGTTTAGGAATCTTAGTATGAGTTTGGTTCGTGGCTTTAGGCTGCCTACCTCATGTATAAATAGAGGGGTAGCGTGAGGCTTCCCGGTATCGCTTTTGTATTGCTTTAGAGAGCAATAGAGTTGAGTTTTGAGTTAGGGTTTTGAGTTTAGTCAAAATTTTTGTAAGGAGTGCTGTTGGTGCACTTTGTAAACACAGAGAGAATCAATAAAGTCGTCATCCACTTTAAGAGTTCTTCGATTTGTGTTTACCGGGTTTCGGCTGTCTAATCGGCGATCTACTAGCGGTCAGACCGGCGGGAAGCGGCGGTCAGACCGGCAGGAGCACGGCGGTCAGACCGGCTGCGGCGACAGCGAGCAGCAGCTGATCTCGGCGGTGGGACCGGGGATATAATCTCGGTCAGACCGACAGCAACCAGGCGGTCAGACCGGCAGGACAACTTCGGTTAGACCGCGATCCGTCGAATTTGAGGGTAACTTTTATTTCCGCTAAAAGTTTTTGGTTTTTGGGTATACCAACCATTCACCCCCCCTTTGGTTGGCTTTGTTCTTGTGATTCGATCCTACAGAAACTGGTGCGGATAGTTTCTATCCGTCCGGATCATTTTTCGGATTCGGACATATTCAGTCGGAACTATCCAGAAATTCTTGGATTCGGAAACGAATTTGGAACATTTTTCTCATAAACGGAAACAACTATAGTAGGGGTACTATCCGTCGGAATCGAAAAACGTTCGGAAACTATCCGGAAATTTTTTTTCTCAGATATCTATAGACATGTATCAAATTTTTGAAAAAAGACATGTATCAAACTTTATATTGAGATCTACAATTTTCTTGTTAACTATTTTATTATTTGAGTTCATTTAGGGGTATAAATATTCAATATAAATTATTATATCTGTTTTTACAAAATCTTATATCTATGATTCAAACGACATCTAATAGAGACGTGTTTCGTATCAAAGTTGTAGAGCTAAATAGATTCTACAATTTGTAGTTTCTAACATTTGTATTTGAAAATATTTAAAGTATAGAACAAATATTACAAGTTTCGAAGATGTGAAATAAAATAATAGCATCTTCAATTTATACATCAAGAACTTGATAAGTGATATTATAAGTAAACTATATATGTAGTAAAAGATCTTGAGATTAGAAAATGAATATTTAAATGTGGGCACTCAGCGGAATGGCCATAGGACCGCCTATAAAAATTGAGGAAATAATAAATGTTTGAGATATTGACCTAAAATAACAAGGGAAATCTTTTTTTTTCTTCGTCTTTATGTTAGGAGTGGTTGAGCCTTATATTTTGGGATGAGAAGAGTAATAACAAGTACTTTTTGTTAGACTGTATAATGTATCCACTACGTGCGGCTAATGTTTTGGCTTGACAAAGAAAAAAGCGTGACAATTACATATGTGAGTACTGCATAAAATAAAACCATTTTCCATGATATTTAATTTCTACTAATGTTACTCTGTATGTCAGCTATCAAAATTCTCATTGGACTGCCCGTACGCACCCTCACCATTTGGTTGTGAACGGACGGAACAGCAAAGTTTAAGATGACACGGAATTAACTGCATTAAAGATGAACAGTTCACCAGCGTGGGAATAGATGAGTACGTAATTAAGCCCATTGGTTTTGTTTGGTAAACTAACCCGGCAATCTCTATGCTACAGGGTGTTTAGATTCAGGGTGTAAAGTTTTAGCGTATCACATTGGATATTATATAGCATGTCGTATGGGGTACGTGTTCGGTACCAATAATAAAACTAATTACATAATCCGTCAGTAAACAATGAGATGAATTTATTAAGTCTAATTAACCTATCATTTACAAATATTTACTTACTGTATGACTATATTATCAAATCATGTAGCAATTAGGCTTAAAAGATTCGTCTCGCAAATTAATCACAATCTAGGTAATTAGTTATATTTTGGCCTATATTTAATACTTTATGTAGGTATGCAAACGTTCGATGTGATAGGGTGTAAAATTTTTACGTTGAAATTAACTAAACAGGGGCTATATGCATATATCGCGCAAGGTTAAGACGCCGGGTCACCTACACGCCTCGTCACCCACCACATAGCTTTAAGTACTGCATCAGCGACACATCAGCAGACGAATTCGACCGGTAACTAGCTGACTGAAACGGAGACGCGTATACACGTGTGCAGAAAAAATCTTCACTGCCAAGAGAAACTAAAGTCAAATTAAATTAGCAGCGTATCATGCCGCTACTTTTCTGATCGATATAACTAATTAACACGACTGGGTTTCTATAAATTCTCTCATCGGTAGTACGTACACGATCGATCTATTTATAAGCGCTCAAGCGGCAAATACGTTCTGATTACCCCTCTGTAATTCACAATGGCGCTCAAGCGGCTTGTTCTGCCGTCGTTCGTTGTAATTATTGTGCTCCTCATGGCTGTCCAAGGTAACAATTTATTTCTGCAATTTTTTATGTTGGTAACTACTTCCCTCTCCGTCAAAGGCTACAGTTTTAACCCAAAAATTTGTTCCATGAAGATTGTAATTTTAGAGTGACCTAATTCTTTTCTCTCTAATACTATCTCATCATTTCTTCTCGTTTTAACCAACGAACCAGTAGTACTCTCTTCTCCCATTTTTTCTCTCTAAGTCACTGTATGAATGACAGGTATAGTAGTCTTTGAATCTCTTGCTTAATCTACTCATATAAGCTATCAGAGACAGTGGAAGTCTAAGCGTGTTTCTTTCTTTTTAACACAATGTTCACCGCCATTTCAGGGGAGTCCCAGCGGTGCGCACTGTCTAGCATCGATGTCAGTCAGACCAATACCGGGAAGAAGGTCGGAACACTCGACACGGTGTTCCAGGTGATGGTGATCAACAGGTGCCAGTGCGCGGTGAGGGCCATCTTCCTCCGTGCCGATGGCTTCGCGAGCTCGGTCACAATCAATCCCAAGCTGTTCCGCCAGGCTGGTGCTGTCGGCTACCTCATCGGCGATGGCCGGCGGATCCCGAGCGGCGAGTCTATCGCCTTTCAGTATGCGTGGGACCACTACTTTCAGATGACTCCTGCTAGCGTCCAGGCCGATTGCTAGACATCTTGTTCGTGGAAGTATGACTTTCAAGATTAATTGGTATGTAATTTTGTATTTCATGACAAAATAAATGGCCTGGTTTTAGTATGCTGCCAGGTGTGGTATATGTTTATTGATCATATATTTCTTAATTCCACGGTTTCAATACCTGAAGGAAAAAAAAATGATATTCCTTGCTTGAGTTCCACGCTTTGATCGAGATGGTCATCCATGAAGAGCTTTTGCAGTCTATTTGATGAATAGTGACGTAGTGTGGTGAAGTTCACGATCAGAAATATTGTAGACCAAAATTAAAGCCACATGGAGAAAAAAAAAGATTGTACAGCACGCCAATTTCACATGTTCTCCACGTGCGTTGTTAGTTAGTACTAGGAGGAATCTTATATACTAGTGCAACTACATCTCCTTTTCATATATAGGAGTGCAAAATATTTCGTGTCACTTGTGCCTGCCATGTATAGCTAGTGCACCTCACATAGATGATAGTCCCTCCGTCTCAAAATAAGTGCAGTTTTGCACTATTCACGTTCAACGTTTAACCGTTCGTCTTATTTAAAACATTTTTATGATTAGTATTTTTATTGCTATTAGATGATAAAACATAAATAGTACTTTATGTGTGATTAAATATTTTCATTTTTTTCATAATTTTTTCAAATAAGACGGACGGTCAAATGTTGGGCACGGATATATCCACGGCTACACTTATTTTGGAGGTAGTATATATATAGTGTCGACCGATGCTTACCCACAGGATCAGTAAGTATATACTTGTCCATTTAGGAGATCCAGATAAACTGTTCAACAAGATCTTAATTTTTGACGAATTAGGTCTACGGTTTTGTTTTTAAGATACAAACTTATTATTGGTTAGTTCCCGGTAGAAACCAGGATGTTTCAGCTGCTGGTGGTTAGGTTTTTCAATATTCTGCTTCTGATGTGAGGTTCATTTTCATAATTGCCATTTTTATTCAGATTTCAATTGAAACTAAGACTTAGAAAACGGTTTGTGTATTTTTTTCCCCTCACGATTCCGCACCACATGCATATATATTCTCATTTGTTGTGTTGTACATCAAAATTGCTCGATATAATAAAAAAATTATATAAAATATTGGCTATGTATAATATAAACATTTTGTGCAAGTTACTGATCAGATTTAAAGTATATATATATAGAGGAATATATATACTAGATCCTAGCCTCGATAAAAGGCAGATAAATTTACATTAATATGAACTGAGAATGCTACTACTACCAAAGAAATCATTCCAGTTTCTTGCCAGCGATCGAAATAACACCAAAACGAAGGAAATCTATGGAGACAAAAAGCGTAGTAGCCCATTGGTTGCAAAACGTCTCGTGCAAGGGCTAGCTGACCGCTACTGATCTGCTGTCCACGGCGGCGTGCACCTGCAGCCACATCGCGCTTTCCAAATTCCAACTTCCATTCTAGCTTCCATCCTTAGCTAGATTCAGATTGTAATTAATCTGTCATCCTAGCTCCAACTCTTTCTTACATGTGTCAACTATGCCGTCATAATAACTCACATAAAGGCATCATATCAGCCTCCAATAAACCGCATGCATGCTAATGCGCCTTGCTATAGCCAGCATCGTGGCATGTTATTTTTACAAAATATAGTGTACAGATGCACACGCTTAAATACACAGGTGCGTATACTCACCACTGTAAACACTAAAACACACGTACACCTAATTCCTAAAAGTATAGAAAATTGAACCGGTATACTTCGAGATTGACAAAGTTAATTATCATGGATGTCTCGCTGTCGATGGTTACGTCTCCTACTACTAAAAGATAACAATTAAATGTAAATACGAGCACATGGGTTAAGGTTAGGACTTAAAACTGGCTGAGCATATTCCACCACAAAAAATTTCATAAGTTGAGCTCTACTTCGCTATTTATAACTACACAAAAGACTGCAAGAGCGCAAAGAGATACATATATATCCACTTATGCACATTACACGCACATAAAAGTGTGTATAATAGATGCATAGTAGAACTATGACCGAACTAATTTCATATTAAAAATCTACCGTCCTATATATAATTGTGGGCACTAATTTTAAACCGGGACTATTATGGTTTTTCACTACCCAACAAAGATCAGTTCTCTAATAGTGTAGATTAAACTGAACCATAATAGTTTTGTTGGTTTCTTTAACCATGACATTCTAGCTACCACATATCTAGTTCTTCCCTACTCCCTAGTTACTCATATATAATTTGTTTATATGTGCTTTATAAATATAAAACGGCTATTCTTTATAAATATAAAACGGCTATTCTTTATACGGCTATTCTGGCACGTATAAACCTCAATTCTCTCCCGTTTCATAATTCACATTTTAGAGAAGGTCAAGCTCAAATAGGTAGAACTGGAACTATTAATATAACTTTTAAAATATTTAGTTTGAAGACACTAGATAACGATGTATATATTACTCTTTAAAAATAATTTAATAAAATTAAATATACACTCTTCTTTTTATAAATGTTAAATAAAAAATATTGTAAAGAATATGATTTATAAACCATTTTATTTTTTAAAACGTTAACAATAAGGTAACCAGACGAAGGGAGGGAGTATGTACATAGATATAACAATTTGCATTAAATTTAAAATATGAAATATCGAAGCTCAAAAGATCTGAAAGGAAAAAAGAACGAAAAGATAAAGTGCCCAGCACATCTACGACAGCTGAGCACACAGTTTGATCTCCATGATACTCCTCATACAATATTTAATACCATACTTGCCTCTAACAATTAGTCCACAAATTAAATTGTGAATTTACTAGTTGTAACATGTGCATTGAGCTAGCTTTTAGGGTGCTATAAGGCTTCCTCCGGGATGGACCAACATCTCTAGATTTTAGGCCAACATAATGTTCAAACAAATGGTTTAAATTAGATAAAATTCCTATATATTCCTGATAATATTCGTAAGACCTTATGTAACCTTAATTGCTTCATTCTCTACATGTTCGTGAGTTTTCAATTTGATCCTCTTTATCTCTATTCCATTTGTTGACCATGGGTAGACTATAATTCTTTTAAAAAAATGAGTATATTGCTCCATTGTCATACTTATGTGCTACCTAATTCACAAATCTCAATATGGAAAAATAAAATAAAATCGAATGGTACAAAATTATCTGACCAAAAATTTTAAAAATAAAATTTAATTTTTTGAACAAATTTATTATTGTTTTACTTCTATGTCCCAAAATATAACAAACTTCTACTACTCAAAATTTGCGACATGTAGGATGAGTTATTTTTTTCTGTCTCGGTGAAAAAAGTAATATGCCTTCAATACCGTGAGGGAAAGGTGAAAAGAACATGTGAGCCAGAAGTCAATGCGCCGTTGCAAAAGGGCAGCGGTTTCGGAAGATCGATCAATGAGGGCGAGTGGGTCGGGCATGGATCCAGTGATGGCAGAGATTATAGGATGCATATCCTGTGGCGACGAGCAGCGACAGCAAGGATCTAGTGATGACCGGCGCAAGAAGCATGCACCGACGGTGGCTGGAGTGATTGTTGGGCAATATCTCACCATAACATGGTGGAGGCAGAAGGAGGTAGATCTCACCAACATTCAACTTTTCTTCTCCTTACCTCAAGGTGCTCACCAATGACATTTCACAGCCGCATAGCATTCGAGCTCACCGAACTCGACGATGTCAACAGTGTTAGGGATGATTATGAGAATGATGCTGCCAACATCCAGCACAACTCTCTCGCATTGTGCCCTTGTCGTTCAGCCATGTGAAGCCCTCCCACGTCACAAGCTAATACAAGTAAAATACATATAGGTATGTTTTGAACTATATGCAAATTGTAATGGCACTGGCCCGAATATATGAAGTCTAATAGCATATAGAAAACAAATTTTAGCTATCTAATAAAATCATTTTTTATCATACAAAGTCATCAATTTTTTTAAAAAATATATATCATCAACTATATTATCATTATCATATATTTCTTACACGATAGAATTACTCACGTTTCAATATACACAGGTAAATTATGGGAAAATATTAAGATTTCTACCTTTTCCAATATACATTAGATTTCTATATAGTAGGATATTGCTATATATACTTTAATTAAATATTTTTTGCTGCAGTTGCTGCAAATAAAACAAAACAAAACTTAAATTATTGTTAATTTTGTCATGCAGACGCACATGCTAGCTACTGGGAGCACCAAATGGCGTGCCAATTTTCTAGTAAGAATCTAAAGTAGTGAAAATATTAATCTTTCTCATCACCGGATTATGCCACGTCATTAGAATAGTAAGAATCATCGGATGCAACTGAGATTCAACAGCTGCCGTTAGATCTTAGCTAGAACGGTCTCAGTAAAAAAATATTGGTGAAGGGTTTACAAGAGTCACAGCCGGAAGGCTCGCGAATACGCGGCGTCCACGCATCGGAACTCGGAAGGAGAGAATGAAAAAAAATCGACTAAAAAGTAAAGGATCACAGCCAGAACTCCCAATTGGCTCCACCATCGTCTGATCATCTCCTCGCCTCCTTCCGAGTTTTCCCAGCGCTGCCGTCTCTTCCGCCGCACTTTTAGATCATCACACATCACCGAGATCCCATGGCCATCAGTGAAACTGCAGCTGCCGATGGAAAGACACAAGGAGAACAGTAGAGATAGATGGAGTAGGGAATTGTGCTACCCGTGACATGCTTACCAGCCAGGAGAAGAGGCACTGGTCACTAGAGGTGGCCATAGAAGTAGGGGTGACAATTTTCTCGGTGGGTGCAGGGTCCCAACGGGGCCGAGGGAAGGTGGAGTTTTAACTCGCATGTGAACGGCGATAGGATCCCGTAATTTTCCAGGGGCGAGGGCGGGGCATGGAAGTAACCCGCGGGTCACCCATGGGGCCCCGGATGGCCCATCAAAACGCATGAACTGAGCCTATCCCTAGTATAGTGGTAGGTAGGAAGATACAAATATAGATAGATTGGTAGGTAGACTCTGAGAGTCAGATGGATAGAACATAGGTAGATAGAATGCAAGAAACATAAATAGATTGATATATAGACTATACTTAGATAGAATATGCTAGGTCGATAATCAGGTAGGTAGATAGACAAATATTATAGATGGATCAACAGAAGGAACAAACTGATGGATAGATAGATAGATAGATAGATAGGATGAATGGAAGATAGTCAAACAGACTTTAGATAGATAGATAGATAGATGAATTACTCGCCACCATAGTTTCTATAAGCACACTTTCATAGTATAAATACATGTGACCCCAATGAGGAACTCCAACACATCCCATGCATACAACATTTTGACCTTTTTATTTAAGAATTAGAGTAGAGTTAAAGATAGGAGAAGTGATCAGAAGTCACCATGCACACACAGACGAATCTAATGTTTCTCATTGCAGTCATTGTGTCCCTCATGCTTTCTCAAGGTAAGAACAAATCAATCATTTCATACACGTTTCATCAGTCGCACTATCTTTGCTAACAAAGCACTTATGTATATCCATAATATTGCTCCAAATGATTCTAATTAGTTAATATCATCTTCACTAAAACAAACCATTCTTTTCTAATTAATATCATCTTCGTCTCAGGGGAGTCGCAACCATGCGGGCCATCAAGCATCGACGTCCAGCAGATGAACACCGGGAAGAAGGTCGGCACGCTCGACACGGTGTTCCGGGTGACGGTGGAGAACAGGTGCGTTTGCACGGTGAAGGCCGTCGTCGTCCAAGCCAATGGCTTCACGAGCTCCATCCCCGTTGACCCCAGGCTATTCCGAAAGGCTGGGGACACAAGCTATGTCGTCGGTGATGGACAGCAGATTGCGAGCACCAATTCTGTCATGTTTGAATATGCCTGGAGCCACTACTTCCAGATCACTCCGGCTAGCGTGCAGGTTGAATGCTAAGCTGATTTAAGACATGTACTTCCTTTGTCGCAAAAATATTGTAGGAAAAATAAAATTGTTATTGTTATCGCCGGTGAAGTTGCATAATGATTGGATTAATAAATTAAGGATTAATTGGTGTATGACCACTGAAAATATATAAATGTATGTTTGATTGACTTATTTAATTTTAGAGGAAAACTGAAGTCGTCAAGTTGAGTACTTTACTATGGCCGTTAATGGTAGTATTATACTACCAGTATAATGGCCCTGTTTAGTTCGCGAAAAGAAAATTTTTGGGTGTCATATCGAACGTTTGACCGGAAGTCGGAAAGGGTTTTCGGACACGAATAAAAAAACTAATTTCATCACTCGCATGGAAACCGCGAGACGAATCTCTTGAGCCTAATTAATCCGTCATTAGCATATGTGGGTTACTGTAGCACTTATGGCTAATCATGCGCTAATTAGGCTAAAAAGATTCGTCTCGCAATTTCCATGCAAACTGGGCAATTAATTTTTGTTTTTATCTATATTTAATGCTATATGCATGTGTTCAAAGATTCGATGTGATGTTTTTAGGAAAAAAATTTTGAAAACTAAACCGGGCCTATATATCAATTAGAAGTAGAGGAGCACTCGATAGAGCGAGAAGTGGCGTGTGCCATACCTCACGCCAGCCACGACCTAGAGTAGACCTCCCAGCTAGGGTTGTCAAAAAAAGCTCGGATCTCGCAAGCTGCGCAAGCTTGATTCGTTATAGGCTTGATTTGAGCTCGGCTCGAATACTAGACAAGCCAAGCTCAAGCCTAGGCTGAGGCTCGCACGCCTAGCAAGCTCGAGCTCAAAAAGCTCGGTAGGGCTTGATTAGCATAAGATGCATTGCATGTAAAAAGATATTCTTGATGGGTCAATGTATACTTGTCACGGTGCTTGACCTGCTCAAGTCTCAAGACCTCATCAATGCTTCTAAATAAAGCAATTATCCGGCTGCTAGTAATAGTACGACTATTCCTATTAGATGTAGTAGCTAACTTTTGTTAATTGCAACGTTTCAAAGCCATGAATTTATAAGAAAAGCTGCATAGGCTTTATTCAAGACAAGTAGCATCCATTAATTTTGACTACCGATAATTTGCATTAATATCTCTTATACAAGAGTAAGTTCTTTAGAGTCTCACCAAGTCAAGCTGTCAAGCTCGAGTAGGCTCGAAGCTCGATCGAGCTCGAACTTAAGATCGATCAGTATCCAGGCTCAGCTCGAGCTTGGCTCAATTTCATGTCAAGCTCAAGCCTACATAGCCAAACTCTCTCGAGCTCGGCTCGTTAACAGCCCTACTCCCAGCGCACTCCCCTCTTATTATCTCCCGAGCCCGGCACGAGTGGTTGGTGGTGTCTCATACACGCGCGACAATAGCCGCTTGATGGGTTATTGCTGGGCCACAACGCCCAAAATCTAGATCCATCGTTGGCCCGCTTGTGTCATTCAACAGAGCTCTCTTGCTATTTAAAAAATGAAACCGAGGTGTTTTTAAAAATGGTTTTAATTGTATAGTGATACGTCAAGAACACATCCTAAACCCAAGTTAATTAACATTTATCAATCAGGTGAAAAAAGTTCTTTATCAAGAGGGTATAGAGGATTTTCTTCAAAGAAATTAGCTGATCAGATACTACAGATAGATCCACAAGGTTTCCAATTTCTTGTATGCGAAAGCAAGAGCCTTGGTTAGCTGAACACGGAAGACAAACAAGGAGTAGGACGAACAGCTGAAGTTTTAAAGAGAGTATAGAGTTAACCCTGAATTGCGCCAACCATTATTTGTCATTGGCAGAGAATGTCATTTTACAATGCAAGGCACCATATTATTCTTCAAAAAGAAAAAATAATTCAAGGCACAATGCATGAGCCTTTGAGCTATGTATAGGTCATCTCAATAATGCAGTTGTAACATAGGACAATATTTGTTCCTGTCATCACGTACTAGTGGTTACCATCCGCACTTTGATTTCTGGTAGCTAGTCCAGGAATGACATGCTTCAATATAAGCAATCTATCTATTATATTATATTATATTATATTATATCTATCTATCTATCTATCTATTATTTATATACTAAAAGTCCATTAAACTTACTACAAACGCTCCTAAATTGCCACTTGGCGCTCTAATAAATTAGATAAATCAAAGAAATTCTAAGAAAAAAGCAAAAGATCTGACCCTTGATTTTCATTTAATACGGTGGACCCATTATTCTTTACCATTAGATCTATATTTAAACAAAAATCAAAAAATCTATCCATAAATCCCTCCCCACCACCTCCTGGGCCTCCTCTCCCATCACGTAGTATACGTACGTACGTACGTACATCCGTCTGTCTGTCTATCCCCTCCTCCATCTCCTATCCTCTATCATTCTTTCCATCTTTTAATTTTCTACCTACCAAAAATCCCTCCCCACCACCTCCTGGGCCTCCTCTCCCATCACGTAGTATACGTACGTACGTACGTACATCCGTCTGTCTGTCTATCCCCTCCTCCATCTCCTATCCTCTATCATTCTTTCCATCTTTTAATTTTCTACCTACCAAAATTTGTGATGATTAAATAAAACCAAACATTATAAGCGTAGATTATAATCTATCTATTAATATCCAAATAATATATTAAATTTCCTACCAACGCTCCCAAGCCATCACATGATACTCTATAAACGCTCCAATGTCACCACATGATGCTCTAATGAATTAGACAAAAATCGTAGATATTCAATGCTCCAAAGCCGCCACGTGATACTCTATAAACCCTCCTACGCCACCACATAATGCTCTAATAAATTAGAGAAAATCATAGATATTCTGAGAAAAAAATAATATGTTGTCTTTATTTTTACTTAAATTGATGGATCCATTATTTTAGACCATTAGATTAGATCTTGCTTTTAGAAAAATAAAAATATAATCTTTTCATGCTAATCACCATCCACGTACAAGAGAAAATGTGTACGTTCATAAAGTTCACCAGGAAAAGTAATTTTCCTGGTGAACTGTACGTACATTAATGTATGTGAGAAAATAAGTATGTACATAAAGTTCACCACATACGTATAGTTCACCGAGAAAAACGATACAGCCCAAAGCAAAAAACCCAAAACAGGCATACTTATAGTATGATGGAAAAATATACATTACAAACTACGGAAACCTTTAAAACTACTGTTGCATCCGAAAATGAACGCATGAGATTTGTCCAAGTCACTACATATTTTCCTTAGTACGATTGGAAAAGAAAATTCAACAGTCTTCGAATTGGGATATTCCATGTTAGAGGAAGCTAAATATATTACTTCCTCTTTATTTTCTTATAACGTTTGACCATTCATCTTATTAAAAAATTGTATAAATATGTAAACTTATAAATTGAGATTATAGATTTTTTATGATAAAACAAGTCATGATAAAACAAATATCATTTATATATTTTTTAACACAAATGGTCAAATGTCATATAAAAATTCAATAACGTCATACATTCACAATCATTACGAGTACTTCACAAACATTAAATTGGTAAACACATTATTTTAGGCCATTAAATATCCCTATCCTAATATCCCATGAACGTATGTAGAATTCGACATAAAAAATCTTAAAAAATACATTCCAAGCGGAAAATGATACATACGCACATAATATTATTTAGAAAAGTAAATGGTCTTTAAAACTAGGATTTTCTATAATTTAAAGGTAATATTAGTCCATAATCAAACACAGTTGAACTATATCAAAGATAAATTATACTGAGTTAAAGCACATCAAATATAAAATATCAAATTAATGGCCTTTAAATGTCCTTACTTGAAATTATATATCACCAATTTTTTATCATTAAATGAACTATGAACGCATTATAATGGTTATTTGTAGGGCTAAATACATCACAACACATGGTGTTGACATGTAAAAACTATAGTCATAATAACTTTTAAATAATTTTACATCATATTTTATGGTGCAAAATATCACCTAACAAATATACAACACTAATTTGAATATATGTATGTAAAATAAAAACAACAGAATTTAATCATCTTTTTTTAAGTATATCTAATTTAATTTTGAAAGCTTTTTTATTTTTCAAAACTATTTGACTGGTGTAGATATGATGTCAAAAGCATAATGGTCAAAAAACCAGAAGCATAAATTCTATGTAGATATGAAAAATAATATCAAAAATATTTCTAGCCACTATAATACAACCCCTTAATACATCACGATAATTATGGTCATATATGTAAATTTGTTTTCTTTGCTAAGACAGTATTGGCAACAAATCAACAATACAGTAACGTTGATATTAAAGTACTCATGATATATTTTCTATAGTTGAGAAATTCTGACGTGACTGTAAGTGCACTTCAATAATAAATAAGCTATAGTAAATAAGTTTCGAAAATAAACAAAATTTTGAAATTAGTAAATTTGTCTGGAACAACAAGTGTTAAAGGCAAAACCAGGGGTTAATCTTGGAGATTATTAGTGTGGTATCTCTCTTTAGATATATTTATCAGTAATATCCATTGATCAACCTCGCTTATTTTTGAAAAAGGATATTATATCTATAGTATTAAAATTTGAGTAATATTAATTAACACAATAAACAAACTATGTCTACTCTATACCATAAAACTACTCTATAACATAAAAACAAATTATTTTCATTAAGGGCACCATGCATGACAGTAGAGCATGCTACACAATCAGAAGTAAAGCATGGGCGTACATATGGCGGGCTGAGATAGTCCCAATGAGAGGATACCTTTGCCAATAGAGCTCAACTTCCTATTTCAGGAGGCAATTGTCTATGAGGGCACCTATAATTAATTAGGGATTAAAATTATGCTCTACGCTGGTCTAGAAGGGCATGGCTATGAGAAACCCATATTTCAAGGCAGCAGGGAAGAAAGCCTCGGCGCCTGCGGTCGGCTTCACCCAATACATGAATATGCTTATCCGATTTAACGTTGTTATCTGATCCTATTAATTGATAGAAAAGGTATTTTTAGAATATTTAGACACAGATTTGGAAATAAGCGAGACGTACATGGATACTCATCTAAATAACGTAGATGATTTTTATAGTTAACTAATAATGTATTAATCTTATTGTAATGGTATGATGTAGTTTGATCTATTAAAT